GGGCCAGGATGTCCTTAATATGTCTTTTCATGGCTCTGGAAACCCTACATGTTGACTACCCCTCCAATCTCATTTCTGGTCATCTCCCCTGCCCTACTAAGTTTCAACCATATTTATGCTCTTTTAGTTCTTTAAATATGGCATTTCTTCTCTCTCTTCTCTAGACCTCTGACAAACTTACTGCCTCACTTCAAGTCTTCACATCCCAAGGAAAAGTAACTTCTCTTTTCTAGAATCTCCATGAGGGCAGAGATCATGAGCCTGTTAGTTTATCACCCATCTTTCATACCCAGCACATGGGGCCAGACAACAGACATGGGGGAAAGACTGGACCTGATGAATGATGGTGGCAGAGGCTTGGTTTGCCCAGACACTGTTCCACAGGGAGAGGGGCTATGAGGCTTGCTGGGTACAAGATGTGCTTCCCAGTTTCTGCCTCCTGGCCGCCACATCATCCTTCTCATCACAAAGTGGTGACAGCATACCTTCAGGGTACTGTATTTTCAGGGCTACAAAGCACACTAAGAATAATTTATATCAAGTATTTTGTATTGGAAACTCCTGAAATGCTTTTAAAGGAAAGAATGAATAACTTAAGACACCCAAATACAAAGAGCACCATCAATCTTGCAAATTACATTAGCCAGAATTTGTGAAATATTTATAGCAAGCATGGTGCTAGGTGTTCCATGGGTAGAGTCCTTTGTTTAATGTTTAAAACAACACCAGGTAGATGTAATTATTCCTATTTTGTGGATGAGGAAAATGAATTCAGGGAGGTACAGGTACTGATCCACAGTCATACAGGTAATGAGTAAACTGAATTGGGACAAAATCATAATGACTGCTGCTATTAATTAAGACTTTCCTGTGAGCCAAGCCTTTATAAATACTTGATATGGATTCTCTTATTTAACATTCCTAACAACTCGTAACAAAGGGTATGCTTATCATCTCTAAATTAAAGATAAAGAAACTGAGGTTTAGGGAATTTAATGTTACTGACTATAATTACACAGCTAGAAAGAGGTTGCACGGGGATTTACTTTCTTCAGTATATTCTTTACTATAACAAGGCATTTCATCTCCAAATATGAAATATATCAGCCAGTATCTTAACACTGTAAGTTGATTAACCGTAACAGTAACCAAGGTTAGCCTTTTTTTCCCCTAAGAAAATAGCTTAGTGTCAATATTTAAGGAGCTTGACACCAATGCTTCAGGAAAAAAAAATGCAATGTATCTGATATTGAATTTTTGGTCTACTTAATAGAGAAATCAGGATTAATTTAAACCCAGATGTTAACATGCTATCCACCTGCATGTAATTCAAGAAGAGAAAAATAGGTCAATATATAAAAATATTGAAATGTTTTTATTTCCTGTTGTTTTGAAAATAATTACTATAATTCCACAGTATTATAGCTTATATAACAATTTACATAATAAATCCTATAATTTCAGGATTATACTCTTCTACCCTGGCACTTGTTTCCTGAAGTTGATGACAAAGACATTAACAAAGCAAAACATCACGATAGGTGTGCATGGCTTTCCAGTGTCTTGTCTCTTCCCTTCCTGGGACTGGGATTTGAACCCATGCCACTCTAGTGTCATGGCTTATGCCATTATCAGCACACGAACCACCTACCCTGGACACTGGACTGACTACAAAGCATAGGAAAAGTTTGTCCCTCAAATGTCAAGATGTTTGAAAGCTGTTGGGAGTGCTTGTTCATGGAAAGGCCACAAACGTTCTATATTCTAGAAATAATATGCCAGAGTCCCTTGAGTCCTTGCTGGGTAATTCAGCAGGAAAGTTTCTCAAGCTTCATGGATTCCAGTGGTCTTTAAAGCAGACTGATCATCAGAATCCACTGGAAAGGCTATACGATATATATCCCAGAGACCATCACAGCCCCATGGACTCAGAATCAGCAGGCACAAGGCTTAGGAATCAGATACAAGTTCCTAGAGGATTCTAACAGCCAGCCAGATAGAAGAACTGGTTTCCCCAAGCCTCTGCTCCCTAGAGGAACTCCAGGCACAAGGCCCCCAGGCTTGCCACCTTTCCCTTTGTAAACAGTGAGGGCAGGTGCTCCTGTGCCAGCTCGTGATTAAGAATAAGCCATTTTGACCTGAAGAATAACAGGAGGAATTTCCATTTATTTGGAGTGGTTTGTCAGTTTCCTACCCTGTCAGATGTCAGATCTTACTGCCTACTTCATTTGATTTAACCAAAAGCATAAACACCCTTTCAAACATTAAATATAAGATGCTGATGATATCTGTAACCACTTATGGGGCATCCACTATATACTTTGTATATAGTATCTCTAATCTTGGCAACTCTACAAGGTATATTTCAGTTTCTCTGACTTGCACCTAAGGAAGCCAAGGCTCAGAGAGGTAATTAACTTGTCTAAATATGTCCATTCAGTAAATGACAGTATTTGAACCAGGATTTGAATCCAGATCATTTAAAACCCAGAACCCAAATTCCTTCCATTCCCCACTAGCTGTGTTAATCTTGACAAGTGCTTGAATTCTCCATGCCTGAATTTCTCCATTTGGGCAAAAAAAGGAAACAAAAGCACCCAAAACTCATAGCGTTTTTGCTTAAATGAAATAATCAGCAAATCTTCTAGGATGGTAATATTAGATAAAATGTTAGCTATATTTTAGACTGGGATTTCTTAAACAAGTCTTGAAAAGCACTCTCCCCTCTAAATAAAAAGTTGCCAATAATTTTAGCAAGTGCTGCAAGCAATGTCTGCCTCTCAGTGACTCTCAATGCTTATTAGCATGTTAAAGACCCTGGGAAGTGCCACAGCAAAGAATCCAGTTTCACTCTACCCCAAGCTAGAAGATATAATGTTTTTTAAAAATCATTTAATTTTGAATAGTTTGGTCCTACCAAGAAGGAAAGAGGCCTTTTACGCCCGATTTGGAAAGGAATTGCTTTGATAATCTCACCCTCTGCCAGTACTTGGAAAAGGCCCTACTGGAGGAACATACCATTAAGGCCTTGCTTTGATATTGGGCTGCTAATCCCATGGCCCAGCTTGACACTGTTTCTTAGCAACAGTCTGTCCTCTTCCCCTTTTCATTCTGTGCCTCTAATGACACTTCCTCTCCTCTGGTTTCTCTTCAGCCTCTGCCTTTCATGGCCCCTTAAGCCTCCTGTACACAGAGAGAAGCAGGAGCTACAGGCCCCATGCACATATTTATGTTAATAGTACTGAGGGGAGGAACAGGCTGTTCTGGGGGCTGCTTTCCAACTGTCACATAAATCAGTCAGAAAAAAAAAAGTTACTATTTTCACAAAGACACTGCCAGAATGGAGCAACAGGTCTTGGCAATGCATCATACCCCTCCCCCTCCACTATGCCTTTCGTAATGTCTCCCTCTGTCCTCAGGAAGGAGGGGATGAGGATTTCATAGACACAGAGGATTTCTAAGTCAGAAGGGAGCTTTGAGATCATCCAGTGCTAAATCATGTGGAAATGTCTAGTAAATACCTCTGCCTGGGTTCTTTCCCCAGAGATTCTGTGTTGTTGGAGATGGGTCACAGAAAAGATTTTTAAAGTTTTCCAGGTGACTCCAATGTGCAAGGAGGGTGGGGAAGTGGGGATGCAGCCTAGCCTCATGGAGACTCAGGGCCAGAGCATTCCAGATATCCCTCAGACTGCACAGAGCATTTGTGGCACAGCAGAGCCCTCACCAATCGTGGCATGCTGTCATTATGATCTTGATGGGAGCGGAAGTACCAAACAGGGGTGTGATGAGAATCGTGTAACTGAACCACTTGGGCTCTTGAAACACCCACTTACTCCCCTTGCTTCACCTGGACCAAATGTATCAGAATCTCTTGGTGGAATCACCACTCACAGATTTTGAACAGGACCTTCATGGCAATTTTCATTGTTTCCCAGTCTAAGATACACACCCACCTGATGGAAAGACCATGCATTCTGGAGTTAGAAAAAATGGGGTTCAAATCTGAGGTTCATCAAATACTAATTGTGTTTCCTTGGACAAGTTATGTGACTTCCCCAAACCTCAGTTTCTTTATCTGCAAAATGGGGTTACATAGTTAGCTCTCATTCCTCCTTCAATATTGAAGTTCAAAAGTCATTTCTTCTTAAAAGTCTTGACTGAGCTTTCAGACTAAGCTAATCAACCTCCAACCCCCTACCCCAACCTGTGTCAACAGGATATACTCTCAAAGAAAACACCTTGCACTACTTGTTTGTAACACAGACCACAATTCATCAATAAGTCTTATAAGGCTAACCACATGGTTTTCATAGGGATATATAAATAATAATAAATATATGTATAATGGTTTACTAATGCTCTGTCTCCACCAGCAGTATTAAGATAGGATGTTAAGCTGTCTGGTTTACTGCTGCATCTACAGTGCTTGACATGAAGCAAGTGTTTATTTAATAAAATCATTGAGCAAATGGCTGAATTGGCTGAACAAATGACTACTATCAATAAAGCACTGGGCACATAATAAACATGCACCAAAATTAGTTGATATAGTAATTCAGAGAGGCCAAGTATTTTACCCAAAGACATACAGCAATGTTGAGACTTGAGCTCAGCCCTCTGGACTTGCTTTTAATCTATCATGTCAATCTGCCTCAGTTTTTCATATTGGAGGGAATGAATCTAGGAAAAAGTGTCAGTCTGTCTTTACCCATTAGAATAAATAAATCCAGCTGATTCTTATACACTCCCATATTCCACTGATGCAATCCATGCACTCACACACACATTCTTAGATGACAATGGCTATTGGCATGGAACTCCTTGATCTTTTCTCCAGAAAGTTTTGGATCATCAACTCCTTGAGAGTAATGACCACAATTTTGGCTCCCACCACAAAATGGACCCATAGAAACTACTGTTTTCTGATGTCAAGTTTATGGGTGGCAACACTATATTGATTGCACACTAGTCAAACCGTACATATGGTTAGGCCAAATACCTGTGATGAGTTCCAATTTCCCAACTGACCATCATGCTGTCTTGGACCCAGGGAAATTCAAAGATGAGAAGGTCACTGAGAGGAGAGAGAATTCACATTATTAACTATTTAAGCTATCAAGGAAATTCAGAATAAGACTAGAGGTGGGTATTTCTGGGAATGACTCTGTATGATCCCTTGTCTTTCTACCTATACTAGCATGGAAATCAAGAGCTTTTCAAATTTTTGTTCTAATAGTTTTCATTTAGTTAGATGTTCTAATGCCCCAGATTCTATGCCAAGTGCTTTATACTCATAATCTCATTTGATATTCATGTCTTTGAGGATTTAAAATCACTGTCAATACCTCACAGAGGAGAAAACTTGGACTGAAAGTAACTTGCTAAAGGTGACTAACACTGGTATGAAGGAAGATCAGGAATGGATCCAGGCCTAACCAATGATTCTAGGGTTGTTAATTAACCCAACAAATATTTATTGAGCACCTACTATGTGTCATGCTATTTTCTAGTTGCAAAGAATACATTCTAGATAAAGCTCCATGTCTTGTGGGACTTAATGTGTGCTAAGAAAAGACAAACCATATGGCCTCCCCGGTGGCACAGGGGTTGAGCACTGGATTGTGAAGCTGCCTGCAGCCTCTGCAGCGCCAGTTCGATCCCCGGCTGCCGCGTGAGGGTCCCACATGGCGCACAGACCTCTCCTGCTGCCCACTGCTCCCCTCAGCAGTGTACTTCGTCAGTCTGCCTGCTCTGCTCTCCCCTCTGGCTCTGGTGAATTCTCTCACCCTCCCGCGCTTCTGACTGTACCCAGTGCTTGTATAAATAAATAAATAAAATATTAAAAAAGAAAAGAAAACAAGGACTTCTCCATTATTAAAAAAAAAGGACAAACCATAAATAATAAATCTAAGCAATAAGTGAATTATATGGTCTATTAGAAAGTGATAGTGCTATGGACAAAAATAGTGTGAGGCAAAAAGGACAGGGACTGGATTGGAGATGTGGGGGTATGGAATACAGGTTTGCAATTTTAAATAGGATAATCAGGACAGGTTTCAATAATGAAAGCACATTTGAGGAAGACAGGAAAGACTTTCATAAGGTCTAAATTATGCTATGTTCTTTTTGTCTCACCAAAATGAATGGATGGATGGATGTGGGATTAAAACTGATTAATTAAACACCCAATTAGTGTCAAGTAGTGTGTTCACTGCTTTATCTACAGTTTCTCATTGAATTCTCTCAATGGCCCTCTAAGAAATATACCATTTCCATTTTCCAGATGAGAAAACTGAGGCTCAGAGGATAAAAATAGTGTCCAAGATTATTCGGCTAATAAGTGATAGTCCTGGGGTTTCAGCTTGGCTCCTCCAGCTGCCCAGTCCCTGCTGTGCTGACAAACACAGTGCTGATGAAGTGTGAGGGGCCACAGAGCTGGGGACAGGGGAATGGCATTGAGTCTACCCGTGACACAAGGAAGTCACCCTGCATCACTGCCCTGAAAGGCAGTGCTGCTACGAAGCTGGGTGCCCTTCTGGTGGTGCTGGTGTTCACAGCTGTACATGGCATGGTTTAGAAGTTAGAGCAGACAGATGTAGAGGAGCAATTCCTGGAGAGTTTTACCATTCACAGTTGTCAGAAAATGCATGGATTCTGGAAGATCCCCTGGAGGACTGCTCTTTCGATCAAGAGCAGCGACACTCTAGGCCCTGTTGGTCTGATGGTAAGCTTCTTTCTATGGTGGGCTTGAAAGAGCAGTTCATAAACTGATCTAGTTTCTTTTTTGACTTGACAAGTGTAGCTCCATGAATGGTCTCTCCCAAGTCTCATTTCCTCACACTGCTCTTTCTCCTTCCTTAGGAGATCAGGAGCTCAATGGTCTGAGGATGTTACATGTGGAATGCAGGTTTACCCACCCTACGGTGTGTTCCATCTCCCTCCAGTCTCATGACAAGAGCGATGCAATGACATTCATTTTGAAGTCGTGAGTGAAAGAGGTGGGTCACTTGAGTGATTGCTTGATAACAAACCTATCGAGACAGTGAGACATGAATGTGAAAGGACTAGTATGAGCACCTGGAAAAGTTAGGAGCACTTTGGAGATAATAAGGAAGAGGTGAAGTACACTAGATTCCTCTCTTTCTGAGCAGCACAAATTTTCACAGCCTCCATCTAATCCGCAAAGCATGGATTCTGTTCCTTTGCACCCACAGTACATACATGTCTTTAAATATTTAGTATTTACCAATGACAACTTAATAATGCCTTTTTTATGTTTTGAAAGGCCTGTTCATTGACATTGACTTGTTTAAGCTCATTCAAGTGATAAAACAACCAGTTAATGGGATGTGATGATCCAAATCCCTTTTTGCAGATGAGGTAACTGAGGCAACAGGAGTTCAATGATTCACCAAAGTCAGAGCTGGTGAGGGGTGGGAGTGGAACTTGCCCAGCTCCCCTAAGTCAGGCTCTCATTTTCTCCCTGAGAAGGGAGGGGTGTTCGATTTGGTAACATAAGAACGGTATAATCACACTTTGTCACTCTATTCTTCCCATGTTTCTGTTTACCCAGGGTGTCTATTCTCTTCCTCTCTCTCAACTTGGAATTACATTTACTTCAGCATAAAATGTAGAGAAAGTTTCATTATAAGGTCTTCTCACTTACAACATGATCCTGCACCAGGGACCCCAAGGACACTGTAATGAGACCTCGGTAATTAGTCTGGAGCCCTGAGCTGGCTCTGTGCCCTCGTGCCTCACAGCAAGTAAAATTCTCATTAGCAGCAGCATCTAGCATGGCAGCCTATGACAGTGGAAGCTCATGCAGAAGATGATGATCCAGGTCACACAGAGTCAAAGCCAAACCCCTCATCCCTTAGGGTCCTTTCTGGTGACTTCTTTACAGTTCCTCTTATTTGGATGTATTTGCCTATCCACTGTCTGTCTCCCCACTTGACTTAGCTATACAAGGAAGGGACTGTGTCTGCCCAATCAGCTACTGTTTCCTTGGTCCGTGCCACAGTGTCAGGCATTGGGTAAGTCCTCACAAATTTATGTAGAAACTAAAGGAATAAATGAAGATTTGATGGAATATCAGTATTTTAATATGCCACTCTCTTTGGGAATACATCCATTTTGAGAGATGATTCTAAACTAGGATACATCTCAACCCCATTACAATTTTCACAAGGAAGAATTTCCACATGGAAGGCCCATTCTTGAGTGAATGGTGATGAGGAACACCTCTGTGCAGCATTTTTCAAGTGGAACTCAGCAGATGTTTTGGTATTAAATCGATCTTTATCATCAAAACAAAGTGGTTGGACGTCAAAGAATAGCACCTCCGGGGAAGCAGAGATAGAAAAGCAGTTAGGGTTGCATTCCTTCAACCTGTGAGCATCGGGGCATTCCATCTTACATGCCAGTCGAATGTGCAGAGGTACTGAGTCACAGCCACAAAGGCCACGTTATGGTGGGACAATAATCTGAACCAACTGTTGGCCTTGCTGGGTTTGTTATTGAAATCAAGTCCCCCTTTTCATTTTAGTCAAACTGAAGAAACTGTCTGGCGGGGTGTCAGGTTTCAAGCAGAAACGTCAGCCAAGGGCTCACAAGGCCAAGGTCTCAGAAAACTTGATTCAATATATGCTTGGGGTAAAAACAAGGAAATAGGTAGAGGGGACTGCTTGGTTGGTGGTGGATGTGACATGACATTTGGTGGTGGGCGTGTTGTGATAAATATAGTTGCTGTGGTAAGAAACTGTACACCTGAAATCCATTCAGTGTTGTAAACTAATATTGTTTCAATAAAAAGAAAAAGGAAAGCAATTCATATGGAATTGTGGTCGGATGGTTCTATTTGTTAAGTGTTCCTCATTTGCATACCTAAAATCCCGCAAGGCACTTACCTATAAAATCAACATCAGAGACCAGCATGGCATCCTCTACCTGAAGTGAGGGTACATCTGTAGCTGAGCTAGGAAGGGCATACCAAGGTGATTTTATTCCTCAACATAAGAGCAGAAAAGGATTTCGACATGTCCTAAGTGCCAATTCAAACCTTGACGTGTGAGCCATTCAAAATTAACCCTACTCAATAACCTTTACTGAAAATGTATTATATGTCAGTATATGTGCTATGCACCTCCTTACATTTATTGATCCATTAATTCTCTTGATGATTTGTAATAGATTTTGTTACTTGATTTGAGAGCAACAGAGGTTGGAACGTGTTCCAGTTTGCACCAGCAAAGACCAGTATTGAAAGCTGCAAAATTTGGCCCAGATCTTCTGTTCCATTTGGGTAATGAATCCAACATGCAAGAATCTAAATGTGATACTCATTTCAGGTTTAGCTGGAATGTATGCCCCATATAACATATTGCTGAGTTCAGATCCCATTTTGGTAGCCAAAATAAGTAAGCCATGTAGTACCACTTGTTTTTCCCCTTTAAGGTTTAAAAAAGGAAGCACTAAGATAATGAGCTGGACTATGCAGTCTCCATATGCTTTTCCTTGTACTAATACAGTGGACAAGTGACTATTCCCCCAGAACCCTGATGTGCTGGAGAGATGTTTAAATCTTTTTTTTTTTTTTCAGTCTCAGTATTTGGGTGGGGCTACAATAAGAATTGTTCAGGATTTGTAAAATCATAAATATCAGCATAAAGATTAATATGGCTATAAGGAAAAGCACTGATAGGGGTTTGGCAGGCCCCACCCACTCACTAAACAACTCACTCCATACACTTGCTCTTTCTTTGCACAAGGCTTCAATCAAACCTGAGCCTAATGAACAATTACATGCAGAGGCCCAACTCCTGTACTATGAATGGAAATGCAAATTAAATGACATTTTTCAGATGTTATTTTGGCAAAAACTTCTAAAGCTAACAATAATCCTAACAACAGTGAGGAAAAACAGGTACTTTCTGCAGTTGAAAGCATGTATTAATGAAAGATTGCTGATGAAAGTGAAAATTAGAATGACCATTTTGGAAAGCAATTTGGAATTATTAAAAATATATACCACCTGGGAGCCATCAATTCTATTTTTCAGTATTTTCCACCAAGAAACACTTATACATATTCATAAGAATGTTCACTGAAGTATTCATTTGTGGTATCAAAAAATTAGAGACAGCTGAAATGTAATACATTCATAGCATGGAATGTTCTACAACTCATACAAAGATAATCTCTATGCACTGACAAGGAAAGTGCTTTGGACATGATGTCATACAATGATATAAGCACACACATGTACACCCAATGTATAGAAAAAGAGAATGGAAAGACACACACGAAAAATCAAAGATGAAATTACAGCTGGGGAAGTTCCCGAGATGGAGAGACATAGTCACCGTCCCTGGTTCATTCATTCCACAAATATTGGCTAGTACCTTCTAAGCCAGGCCCTGATGTTGTTTGGTGGTCAAGAAAATCAGATAAAAACCCAATTCTTTCTAGGGAGGACACCTACATCCTAACATTATTGTTTTGTTAGCTATGATACTAGAACAAGAATTTATTCCACATTACTTGTGGAATTAAAAGTAAATACAAAGGCAACATGACAAACCTCACATTTTTATATTAACAAACTGTGAAGCAACTATTTTGGCTTTGAGTATACTTATATTGATAAATAGCCCCAGATATAAATGTTGTATTATTGGTGACTGCCACCTGGCTACTGTAGTTCCTCAAATGGTTTCCCTGGGGATGGTTGGCCAAGAAAGGAGTGCAGTGACACTCTCTGATAGCACACAGACTTGTGCACAGTTGGTTGTTCCTTCTTTAACCTTTGGGCGCACCATAAGGCATAAAATATGAGGGAATCTCAATCCTATGATACACATATTCACCAAAGGACATGTATAGGAACGATCTTAGCAGCACAATTTCTAACAACCTCAAAGTGGAAACTACATAATGTCTATCAGCAGTTGAAAAGATAAATAATATACTATATTCAGACAAAAGAATACTATAGTGTAATATAAACCAACACATTAAAACTATAGGCAACCATGTGAATGAATCTCACCTGAAGGAAGCCTGGTACAAGAGTAACACATTATATAATTTCAGTGATAAGACAGTCAATAACAGGCAAAAACAGCAAATGATACTAGAATATTGGACAGTGTTTACCTCTGGGAGAGAACAATAGCTGGGGTACATGATGGAGGTTTTTGGCCATGCTAGCGGTGTTGTTTCTTGCTCAGTGTACTGGTTATATGGGTGTCATTAGTTTATTGAAGCCTGTTGAATTTTGCAGTTATAATTTATGATTTTCTTGTAGGTATATTCTACTTTCATAAAAACCTTACAAAATAAAAATAAAAAGAAACCAAAATTAAAACATAACACCCTGAAATCCAATCTGTATTGTTTGACTCTCATCTTTGACTAGTTGCATGCCTTCTCTCGGATTCAGAAAACATCTGAAAAGTGGAAGAAAGATATCTAGTTGATCTGTAAGGATCCTCCCAGCTGTATGATTCTGTGTACTACCGCTTCCATTCCCACAATCCATTTCTGAAGCAATGGAATCAACAGAGACCGAATTTTCTTTCATTTACTCTTTGAATTTTAGAAAGATTATAATGTCACCTAGGTCCCATTTTCAAGGTGCTTGTTGTAAAGACACAATCAATTAACAAAGGAAATCCTGCTGTCCAGGAAATTGCACATAACTAACTCTTTCCCAAAGTGCTCTTGGGGTAAGTGTGAATACGCCAAATGCTGCTTTTGCCAAGCCTCTTCCTGTCACGCCAATTCATATACCATGTAATGGGAGTGTCAGCAGTTGCAGAGGTGGGACGGTTCCTGGTAGGAAGGAGGCAGCTACCATGCTCACGCCCGTCCACTGTTTGAATAGGCACTTCCTCTCCCAGGGGAGTTGGTTTGTAATTTTCCTCTTGACGGCTACTGGAAGTCCTTGAATGACAACATCACAGCTTGTACCCATTCACAACAGGAAAGTTTGTCA